GACTGGGACAGTTGTTCAGGCCAGGGCTCACGGCAGGGCTCGGGCCACACACATACTCACAGCTGCTGTATCTGCATGAACAGGTGTTCAGTGTGGGTTTTTATATGTATGTTTAAGGTAATAAATACAAAATACCCTCCATAACTTCCCACTCCTAAATCACACTTTGGGAAGGGGTGGTTTGGGACTTTGTTGTGGGTCATACGTTAAAAATAGGTTGAAATGATTGAGCTGAGCAACACAATCAAATGATTTTTCTGCTCTTTTCTTTGCTGATTGGTTAACATTACTGCTACTGAGTGCTGATTGGTCAGCGTTACTGCTACTAAGTGCTGATTGGTCAGCGTTACTGCTACTGAGCGCTGATTGGTTAGCATTACTGCTACTGAGCGCTGATTGGTTAGCGTTACTGCTACTGAGCGCTGATTGGTTAGCATTACTGCTACTGAGTGCTGGTTGGTTAGCATTACTGCTACTGAGTGCTGATTGGTCAGCGTTACTGCTACTGAGTGCTGATTGGTCAGCGTTACTGCTACTGAGCGCTGATTGGTTAGCATTACTGCTACTGAGTGCTGGTTGGTTAGCATTACTGCTACTGAGTGCTGATTGGTTAGCATTACTGCTACTGTGTGCTGATTGGTTAACATTACTGCTACTGAGCGCTGATTGGTTAGCATTACTGCTACTGAGTGCTGGTTGGTTAGCGTTACTGCTACTGAGTGCTGATTGGTCAGCGTTACTGCTACTGAGTGCTGATTGGTTAACATTACTGCTACTGAGTGCTGATTGGTTAGCGTTACTGCTACTGAGTGCTGGTTGGTTAACGTTACTGCTACTGAGTGCTGATTGGTTAACATTACTGCTACTGAGTGCTGATTGGTTAGCGTTACTGCTACTGAGTGCTGATTGGTTGGCAAGCGGAGCAGCTCATTGGCTGTTCAAACTCACTGAATTCATGAGCCGCTGTTTAAACTCGAGTTTAAAAGCTCTTAAAAATATAACAGCAGTGTTAAAATGTTTTATGCTGCTCTGTGTTCAGGATATGAATGCATTCTTTAATATTAAAAAGCATTTATAAACTATGATTTCGCTCAAATGCTCAATACTAACCTATTCATTTTGGACTCGCTTGGGAGCGCCCTCTAGTGTTTGAGAAACCCGGAAAAACATTAAAGAGTGATAATTCTCCTCTCTACAACTTCTCTGGATAAGACCACAGACACACGGACACTTGCATCCCGAGTTCATGGTTAACCTGGCTGGCTAGTTTGCTGTCTGACATGTCATGGCTGTGCTGTGGTAGTTATCTGGTGTTAACAGATAGTAAAGAAAATGGTTCTGTATAGAACCCTGAACACTCAAATAACCCTTTTCATGCTTACGTGGTTCTTTGCATGGCAAAATGGTTCTTTAGATTAATGGAGAATGTGCTGTAGATGGTTCTATACAGAACCTTATTGAAAGGAGTTCTCTATAACATCAAAACACTTTTTTATCGCATTGTTTACTTTTATGCCAGTGCACTGATACAAATCGGTGAACCTTCCCTTCCCTAGTGGCCTGCATGATACTGGTTTTCTCTAAATAGACCTATTTAGGCTTTAGTGTTGAGTTTTTTTGGAAAGCCAACTTAGAAAACATGATCATTTGTGATAAAAACGGTTTGAAATCCTCAGAGTCCGGTAATGAGAGAACCTTCATTCTGTGTTTGGATTTTAGAGGCGCTGAGTGAGAAAGTAGCGCCTCTCAAATCACTTTAGTCTGATGTGCTGGATATTTACGAATAAATAAGGCCGATGGTGTTGGTTATTGCCTTAACGAGCAGAGCTATTGGCCAGCGGGGCGTGAAAGAAAGTTGTGATACTTCGCTCACTAGATTTCTTGCTGGGGGTACCGCTGGAGCCAGAGCTGAATCTGAGGGGGAGGGGGAGGCAGACATCTCCGCACTCATGCTGTGTCTTTGAGTTTTTAATGGAAAAATGCGAACTCTGTGCTATAATAATGCATCTGATGCAGATATCAGTTTAGATAATCATAACAAGCCACCCAAGAGGAATTTTTGGAGAAGGGTCTGGCTGCAGACATGCACTCTCAGCCTGACGTGCACCGCCAGCCTACTGATGACGTCAGTGCTGCTCTGCCACGACACAGTTTTTGTCGGTTTTGTGAGCAAAAACAGTGAAACACAAACTGCTGGGCTACAAGAGCTACACTGACTGTCTATTAAAGTTGTCATACTGATAAGAAGGTAATTAAATATGGAAACGTTTAAAATAAAACCCACCACGACGATAAAACTTAATATCGGGTTTATTCGCAGGAAAAAAAAACAAACAGTCTGCAGAAACTCATGAAAGCCATACTGAAGACGATTAGAACCGTTAGGAATAAAACCTGATGGTTTTGTTTCCTAACTGGAACTGGTTAGATGGATGCCATTAGAGACCATTAGGAAACAAACGAATGTGTCTGAGATCAGTCCTAAAAACACCTGATTAAACGATCAGAATGCTTTGAACTGTGATATGAACCCAATAGGAAAACACAGAAGACCATCAGCGACTACTGAAAACCACCAGGAACCAGCAGACACTTTTAATGGGTTCTATGAATTTTTTGAACAGGGAGGGACATTAAATGTACCTCTCTAGCTGTGTTATGAATGAAAAATAGATTAAGTGATGATGTGGCTAAGCAGAAGCAGCCAAAAGTTACCGTGCCGTTGGGCGGCTTCTGCCGCTGTGGCAGAGAGTGCATGTGCACGTGACGTCACTGGGGCTGAGAGTGCATCTGTCTGAGAGTGCATCTGTCTGAGAGTGCATGTCTGCAGCCAGACTCGATTGCATTTTTGAGTGCAGGGAGTGTTTAAAAGTTTGTGAAAGTTACACATGGCTCATATTTTCACTGTATCTGCTGCTCACACTGTTAAACGTGTCAGCATTCAGCACAGGAGAGCAAAGAAAACAAACAGCGTTGTAATCAGTTTCTAATCTCATTTCTGATCTGTTTCTAATGATCATAAATGTCAATGCAGTGTTAGATCAGTCTTATACAACGGTGTTTTAGGGCCACTGTGTGACAATACAACAGAATCCAGGATCCTAACCTAACCCTAACCCTAACCAAGGGGCTAGACAAAAGGGCAGGTCAATAAACAGCCAAAAAGGTCAAAAACACAGATCAGCAAAATAACCGGCAACAGTATCCAAAAAGGGGTAAGGCAAGTAAGGGTATTGGAGTCCCTAGCATTTTCCAAGTCAGATGGGAGTGGCCCAGTCATGTGATCTTCCTGAGAGTTCTGGGTAATGAAGTCCATATCATGCTGTGATACTGGCAAATGCGTGACACACTGTTACATAAAATAAAAGTAATAGACTTTATGAAAAAAGTTATAATATTTCAAGAATAAAGTCATTTTTTAGAATAAAATTATATTTTGAGAAAAAATTGACGCATATTTAGATAATAAAGTCATATTTTTTAGAATAAAGTCGTAATATTTCAACGAAGATGCCGAGCGCGCCGCAGTTCCGCTCCTTCAAGATCGATCATTTTGATTATCATCTCATTGTCTCCTGTGAAACTACATGCCCTCTTAGAATTTTCTCAAAATATTATGACTTTATTCTCGAAATATTATGACTTTACTCTCAAAATGTCATACCGTGCGACTTTTTTTCTCACAATATTACGACTTTATTCTCAAAGTCTACTAACAGTGGCCCTAAAACACTGTTGTAGTATTAAATGCTAAAACTGTCTCATTTTTTTTAAGTAAACCTTTTGGTTTATTGATCGTTCCATCCTGAAATGCAAGAAGCATTGATTCCGCATGACCACTTATCGTTCTCAGCTTGTATTGCACACCTGATTTGGGCCCAGTCCCATTTCTTCTTTTTACCCCTACCCCTTGTTTTCGAGTGTCACCCTAACTCCCTTGGAACTGAGTTACAGGGTAGTGGTTGAAATCTTCCCCTCTGAAATGGGACCCTCAAAAAAAAAGAGCATCACTTCATTAACAGCTACCAGCGCTGCTCTGTAGGCGACCCTGCCAGTCTGCAGTGACAGCAGAGGAGGGTAAAGTTCAGCTCCTCACTGCTGGGCTTTAGTTACATTTAGGGCATCATATGATCTTCAAAGAGGGGGGCAATTATTTATTATCACCCACCCCTAATTCTTCAGTGATATGAAGCTGAAGTCAGATATTCACCAGTGTCTTGTTCGAATTTTCCCGTTCCACCTTAAACAACAACAGTTTGCAACAGTTACATTCTGGCGCTTCAGGTGTCAGAACTGCTGGACTATTTAAGGTGGAACGGGAAAGTTAGCTAGCTAGCTACCGAGAAATCAGCATAGTATTAGTGATTTTTATGCTTGTTATGAAGAAAACAACCATAATACACTGAAACTACATTAAACTAAGATAAAACAATGATTATTGTAAATTTTTTAAGAGAAAGTTCTCACATCTGTGTGTTTCTTTGGTCTCTTGTTCTCCATCTTGCCAGTTTTTCTTTTTTTCTCATAAATTCATTTTTGAAAAACGTCCGTTTGGAGGGTCATGTAGCCCCAACATTTCACCCTACCCCTCTATCTCAACAAGATTCAGGACACCCTACCTCCAGACCTGAATGCACAAAACAGAAGGGTAGGGCTGAGTGGTAGAGGCGAGGGGTGAAATGGGATCGAGCCTTAGACATGCAGGTTTCTCCTCTACAACATCCAGAGGGTTCAAGCCTTTCTCTCTCGTGAGGTCACCCAGGTGCTCATTCAGCCTCTTTTCACCTCCAGGCTCGACTGAAAGCGCCTCACCGTTCGCTTTTGTCTGATGTGCTGAGAAAGCTCGAGTTTCGCTGGATAAATGTGTGAGCTGTTTGAAATCTGTTTATATAGTCATAATAAGCCACTCAAGAGGAGTTTTAACAAACACAGTTTAGAGTGCAGGGAGTCTTCAGAAGTTACGCTGTTTCACTGTATGTTCACTGTGTTGGTGTTTTCAGGTGAATCAGGAGAACGTGGTGAAAGTGGGCCACAGGCAGGTGGTGAATATGATCCGGCAGGGAGGAAACCGGCTGGTCATTAAAGTAGTGAGAGTCACCAGGAACCTGGACCATGACGACACCGCCAGGAAAAAAGGTACCACCTCCTTCTGTCCTCTGATACGTCGACTACGTGTCCAAAAGTTTGTAGACACCTGCTCGTCCAGTGTCTTTTTTTCTGAGATCTCTGCTCCTCAAGAGCCTCTACTCTTCTGGGAAGGCTTTACACTAGATGTTGGAACATTGCTGTGAGGATTTGATTGAGCATTAGTGAGGTCAGGTACTGATGTTGGATGGTCAGTTCTGGATCACTCCAACTCATCCCAAAGGTACTGGATGGAGCTCCATCACTCCAGGGAACGCAGTTCCACTGCTCCACAGCCCAATGCTGGGGGGCTTTATACCCCTCTAGCCCACACTGGGCGTTGGGATGATTGTCAGAGTGGAGATTCAGCAGTGTCGATTGTTGATTTGGAACAAGTCCGGAGGACACTATTTGGGTAGCAGTGACAGAGTTGATAACACATTTGGGACTTTTAACTGATCTAGACTAAAATCCTTTTACTTTGAGTGCCCCTACACCAGAGGTCAGCAACCTGAATGTTAAGAAGAGCCATTTTGTCCTTTCAACAAAAATCAAACCACCTTGAGAGCCTCAACATTATGTCCATTTTGCCATCTTGGCTGTAAATATGTCTCAGTATGTGCTGATGTACTAGTATAGACTAATATAAATGAAAATACAGCTGTAGCTGCTTTTCTCGCATCTCTGGCAGGAAATAAAAGAACAGTTTCTTGTAAAATGTCTCTCAACGTTAGTTTTTTACGAGGCTGAAGTCGCTTCTCCTTCGCCAGCTTCTTGTTCTAATTTTCCCGTTCCACCTTAAATGTGCCTGAGGCACCAGAATGTAACTGCTGCACCATTTAAGGTGGAACGGGATAAGTAGAACAAGAAGATGGCAAACGGGAAACTGACTTCAGCTTCATGACTTTTTAGTGTTTGTCAGCTTCTCACTGCAGATGAAACGTATCAGGAAACCAGCTGGAGTGATTATAAACTCCAGAGTTTAAGACCATTTACTATTAAAACTGTGTTGAACGATCAGCAGAGCTTTATTTTACTGTAAAGGAGGTTTATTTTATTTTTACCTACAAATCTAATTCAGCTGTGGAGCCACAACAGGGCAGTTAAAGAGCCACATGTTGCCGACTCCTGGTCTATACCTACTACCCAAACTTTAAAAATTGTTTCGGTAGTAACAATTTTAGCTCATTTTGAGTAGAATTCAAAAACACAGCCAGTACTTGACCAGCAAACACATCTTTGAACAGCTGTACACACAAAAAATCATCATATTTTTTATCAAAACATAAAAACTTAAAAAATTAAAAAGTTACTTCTGCATTCTGCGTTTTTCCACAAAGAAAGCGTGTGTTTCGTTAGTGACGATTCTTAATGTTCCACACTGATTATTAGTCTTTGGGACACATTTACTTCAAAACAGTGGGACCTAACTGCTCACCATGTGGCCATGAGGGACAGGGATACAGCCTCACTTCCTGCTCTAAAATGCAGGGGTGTGGATAAAAAAGGGCTCCACCTACAGACTGAAACTCTTTGTGTTTCGGAAGTGACATGAAAACATGGGATATTTAATTATTATTTGAAATTGAACTTATGATAATTGTAATAATTTCAGTTTCACTTTAAAATACATCAAAAAATTGAATAAGTACAAAAAGTGTCGTTTTCACAAGTATAAATGTAGGGGTTAGGGTTTGGGACAGACCCCTCTCAATAGAAAGTGTATATATTGATCTTATTTATCTCTATTTATACCTTTAAATAGGTCACAACATAATGCTTGTAGATATCTAAGATCTGAATACTTGTTTTTGTTAAATAGGAGCGCAGTTTGAACTAATTCAGTGGAACGCTCCATATGTAACATGTTGCTGTAGATCTGAATGGTGTTTTAGGTCAGGCTGGCGTGTTTGAGTAGTAGCTCTTCTGGGCCTGCTGCCCAGCTTAAGGACATAATGCATTCATCAGAGGGCACATACAGAGTGCCAGCCTGCGCTGCCAAAGTCCTGCCAAACGCCCGTTTGGCACATGGCGCTCTCAGACTAGCACCGCAGATTGGCCATCTGGCACTTCAGACGCTCAAGAGCGCCGTCCTGCTGGCCTGGTCATCATGGCCAAAGAGATGAGGCCACGGGGGACTCCGGAGTGCCAGGAAGTCCCAAAGTTCACACTCGCGGTTCTGTGTACTTCACAAGTTCATGTGCTTTTCCGGAAAGTGTTCAAGTGTCCGATTTCTCAGACGTGCAGAATCACAGCGCGCAGGACCGCACTGAACACTAGGCCTCAGGAAAAGAATCGATTCTTAGATGCATCGCGATTCTCTCTTGAAAGATTCGGAATTGATTCACAAAACGTCATGATTGGATCTTTACATTGATTCTGCGTTTCCTCTACTCAAAAACAAACTTATATTATAGACCCCATGTGTCAAACACAAGGCCCGCGGGCCAAGTCAGGCCCATGAAACAGTCCTATTTGGCCCGAAATGATTTTAATTCTCTATTATTATTACCCAGTTTTACCCTGAGATGCACTACAGTCCCCAGCATGCACTGCAACATAGTGTCTGTCCTGACCCTCAACAGCAATCTATGGACCTGCGGTTACACAAGCAAAAACTAGTTTAAGCAAATAGGCAGTTTTAAAAAAAAACTACCTAAAACATTTGATTTTATTTAGAATTATGTTTGAATTATTATTGAAGTATTCAGTGCCTTTTTGCTGATCTTAATCTGATCTTAATTTAGGAATCTTATCTTATCTTACAGCATCTTATTTCCAGTTAGGAAATCTTAACCTACTCGGTCAAAGTCGACAGTCAACCGTCATGTGTGTTACCTAGCAACCACACAGCTGAAACGTAAACACATAATCAAAGTAATCGAGTTAGTTAGCCAGGCAGCTAGCATTAGCTACAATTACTGATTTAAAAAGATCAAAACTAAAGAGTGCTAAACTGTAAGTAGTGAATACTGCGAGAGCGCCCCCTGCTGTTTATCAGAGCGTCGCCGCTCCCCAGTTTCAGTCTCCATTTCCCAAACGCTTTAGCCGAGCGCGCTAACGTTACTCCTCCTAATAAACAGACACACGTTCAGCTCCGTCTCCTCATTATTCACCACCATCACTGTAATATTTCATCATCAACATTAACACACGAAGGTGATCAGAGGGGCGGTGGAGATCGAGTCTGCAGCGTCTGAGATCTTTAAAACGCAGAGTTAGAAAAGAAAATCATCTCACAGTGAAAGCAGCGTTTTACAGTAGAGATAAATGGAGCTCATTATGCTGGTAGTGAACTATGCTGCTGACTCAGCTGCCTAAAAACCATAGAAACGGACCTTAAACAGAAGTGAGGACCCTGTTGGGGTTCATCCTAAAGTTAGGACAGGATTTAGGAGGTTCAGTCTAGTTAGGATGTTTGTGTGATGCTGTTTACTTATCTGGAGTTCATGATGAGATGATGAAGTTAGGAACTGTTATTCTGGAATAGCTACTGTCCTGAATTCAGTCTGTACTGAAGTCGTCATGGAGACTAAACTGATAAGATAAAGAAGTTTCTGTAACATGGCCCCTTTTTTAACAACCAGCCCAGCCGGCTAACAGGCTGATCCAGTAACATTAGGATTAGAATTCAGTTTAAAAATTTCTGAATGATAAAATGCGCGGGGGGTTTCTCAGAGTGCAGAACACCCTCTAATGAAAATTCTCACCAGTGTCTGTACAGCTTTAGTGTCCCGATGCTTCAGATGAGTTATTAAAAAAACAGTTTTCATTACAAAGTTTGCTTAACTAGCTAAACTACGGAGGCTGGCCTGGTCAGGGTAGTTGTGATCCTCTGCTCGTCGTTGTCCTACGAGTGGCCATTTGTTTAACGTTGGTGCCGACAGAGATTCTCTAACATATCTAACATTACAGATTTTCCCACAACCTTCAGGTCTGTGGTTTTCAATCAGTGCAATAATATCTGTCTGCAGAGCCGCAGAGCCACAGTTTCACTCCGGCAGGTTCAAGCCAGTGGCATTCAGCGCATGAGCTGACACTTGTTTTGTTTTTTCTTAGTGAGTTTTAGGCTGATCAACATTTCAGTCGTTTTATATGGGTTTCCAGTAAATTTGTGATAGATTTGCGTTGGGCTAGCATTATATTTTAAGCTTTAGACTAAAACAGACTTTGGTTTGAAGGCATATAGAGATTCACAGAGTAAATATTACATAAACCACAGCTGATGTGGCTCTGGGCAAACTAATGGGTAATGTAGACACACAGCTCAATAACTTAGCCCTAATGTGGGGGCTTTATGTGAAAACCTACATGTGCAGGAATAAAACTTTACCTTAAGCAGCTTAAACTGAGTATAATATTAAGATTTAGCCTGAAACAAACTTTAGTTTTTGAACGTATCCCTGCTGAAAAACCCCACAGAAACCATTAAGTGTTTCTTTTGGTTTCTGATTGTTTTGTAATGTGTTTTGGTTTATGGTTTAACCGGTTGATTAGTGGTTGATTCATATATTGGCGTCTGTCTTCCTTCCTGAATGGTAAAGTTCATGGCGACACTTACAACCGGCACAAACAGTCGCTGTTCACATCAGAGACGTTATAAGTGAGGATACCAGCCGCTGGTTGAGATACGAATGGGACGCTTGTAACGCGCCACTTTCCTGTAAGGACTTTGTTTACATGGCACAGTCGTGCTGTCCTGCTGCGCATGAGCTCCACTGGCTTCAAACCGCTGGAGTGAAACTGCGGCTCTAAATCTGCGGCTCTGCAGTCAGACCCTTCTCAGTCAGTGGGGTGGGTCGGTTCTGCCAGGGGGGCTATTAGCTATCAGTTTTTTTTCTTTGATCAGAAAACTTTATTAAGCTACTTAGACGTTTAACAAAACATAATTTAAAATATGACAAATACTTTTTTGCCATAATAAAACATTTATCTCACTGATTAATGTGGCAAAATGCATGATCAGTTTATCTCACATAGCTACCTAGTTACGTTTTTCAGTAAAAGCTCTCGTTTGGGAGAACTTCTTCTCTAGATCACTTTCAAAGTGCAGGGGACAAAAAACTGTCCCCAGGAGAAGAAGGTTTAGGATGCAGAAAACATTTAGGACGGAGAAGCTTGAGCAGCAGAATGAGCTAAAAAAACATTCGCACCACATAAATATTTGCTCCATATCGTCGCTGGTGCACAAAAAACTTTGCGCCTCCATTTTTTTTTTTTTTCACTTTTTCGCATAATTTAAAACTCTGGTTATCCTTTGCATTATTAAAAATTCATGATGAGCAGGCCAACAGAAATACTCCAAATTTAGTTGGAAAAAAGTCTGGTTATATTAACTTACATTAGAAGTTAGGAAGGTTTTTTCCTTCTCCTGTAAAGTTACCATTTTGGAGAGACCAGGTTTTGTTTCTGACAGTGATGATATATTCTAATACGTATGTATATTTCATATAGGTTTCAGATGTATGACAAATGACTGTAATAATTTGCCAGCTGACGCTCACATATTCCACTCCACTCATGTTTATTGAGTTTGTGGTGTTTCTGTCACATGAAGGCTCGGCTTGCTTTTAGCACCCTCTAGTGCTGGATGCGCACACTAGACGATACGGCAAAAAAGAGCACCCAAAATCCCAGATCTCACTGACGTCACGTGATACAAACAAAGCTGAACTGGACCTGTTTGTGCTTTTATTCACACACATCCTCTAGTCCTTCATCAGTGGTCACAGGACGCTGCCCACAGGACGCTGTTGGCTGGATATTTTTGCTTGGTGGACTATTCTCAGTCCAGCAGCGACACTGAGGTGTTTAAAAACTCCAGCAGCACTGCTGTGTCTGATCCACTCAGACCAGCACAACACACACTAACACACCACCACCACGTCAGTGTTACTGCAGTGCTGAGAATGATCCACCACCCAAATAGTACCTGCTCTGTGAGGGTCCATGGGGGTCCTGACCACTGAAGAACAGGGTAAAAGGGGGCTAACAAAGTGGACATCAAATGGAGCATAGAAACAAGGAGGTGGTCAATGTTATGCCTGATCGGTGTATATATATATATATACACATACATAATGGTTCTGCTATAGTTACAGTGTCAAGCTTGTAAAAATAGCAGAACTCTTTTTGGTGCTGTATAGAACCGTATACAACACATTCTCCATCAGTCTGAAGAACCATTTCGCCATGCAAAGAACCCTTTAATCATGCAAATTAATTGCATGCAATTGCATAATTGAATAATGGTTCTAGGTAATTAATGCTAGAACCATTCTCTTTACTAAAGAATGCTTGAAGAACTATCGAGCATGTAGGTGGCATATCTCAGTGTAGTCAGCTCTCTCTCTCTCTCTCTCTCTCTCTCTCTCTCTCTGTAGCTCCGCCTCCTCCAAAACGAGCCCCGACCACCGCCCTGTCCATGCGCTCCAAATCCATGACGTCTGAGCTGGAGGAGTTAGGTAAGCACACAAACACTGGCATGTACGTTTCTCGACTGTTTCTCCTTTTGTCCTCCACATGTCTGTCCTCTCTCCGCCTGACTGATCGATCGATTGTTTGTTTGTTTGTTTGTTGTGTTGATTTCCAGTGGATAAAGGTAAGCAGCAGTGATCTGATGCCTCACACTCACACAAACAAATGGAGATGCAAGACCAGCAGGGGTGTAAATCTCTGAATGATTCGATTCAGTTATGATTCTTCAAGAGATGATTCAGTGCATCGTGGAATCTCAATTTTCACCATTAATTATTTCAGTTGGAACATTTCCGAATAATTTAGATTTCTTCTGTCTTCTTTAAATAGCCGAATAATTTTATTCAGTCATTTTGGCCACAAAACGAGTGCATGCTTAATTGTATCATGATCAAATTCTTTATTAGCTAAAGACAAGATATAAAAGGAACTTAAAAATCAATGAAATATACAAAGGACTATCAAGTTCAAAAGTTTGGAATCACTTTCCAGTAAAAAAAAAATTGTTGTAGGTTCATGTTTAAAATGGTTCTAATATATGATCCTTGAATTTTCTTAGTGTCAAATAATCAGTGGGAAGCTCTAAAAGATGAAATGTTAGGAGCGTCTTGTTAAACGTCATAATAACTGAGAAAGGAATAGAAATTCTAATAGAAATTAATATCCTGAATGCCTTGGAGATCAAATCCCAAGGTGCAGATATTAGATCAAGGTATTACTATAAATATCCAATTAACATTTTTCTTATTATTGTTTTTATGTAAGAATTTTAACTTGTTAGCGAGGCGTTGATGCCAAACCTACTTCACCATCTTCAGTCTGCGCTGGGATTCCCAAAAGCATCTTAGCACAAAGAGGGAGCATCACACCGAACACTCTGTCCACCAGTTAAGATGATCTTAACACTAAAATGCTTTTGGGTAACTGGGCCTCGATTGTTAGACGGACATGCGGTTTTCATATCGGTAAAAGAGTTTTATTCCTATTAAAATGAATCGCAGAACTATGTGGCCAAACATTTGTGCATCAATTTATGTAACTGTGACACAGGTATGCTAGCAACACCCTAGAAACCACCTGGAATACTATAGCAACCACTTAACAACACTCTAACAACCACCTGGGATACCTTAGCAACCGCCTGGGATACCTTAGCAACCACCTAACAACACTCTAACCACCACCTGGGATACCTTAGCAACCTCCTGGGATACCACAGCAACCACCTAACCACAATCTAACAACCACCTGGGATACCTTAGCAACCTCCTGGGATACCACAGCAACCACCTAACCACAATCTAACAACCACCTGGGATACCTTAGCAACCTCCTGGGATACCACAGCAACCACCTAACAACACTCTAACAACCACCTGGGATACCTTAGCAACCGCCTAACAACACTCTAACAACCACCTGGGATACCTTAGCAACCACCTTTGCTACCATAGCAACCACCTAACAACACTCTAACAACCACCTGGGATCCATAGCAACCACCTAACAACACTCTAACAACCATCTCGGATGCCATAGCAACCACCAAACAATAGTCTAACAACCACCTGGGATACCTTAGCAACCACCTAACCACAATCTAACAACCACCTGGGATACCTTAGCAACCTCCTGAGATACCACAGCAACCACCTAACAACACTCTAACAACCACCTGGGATACCTTAGCAACCGCCTGGGCTACCACAGCAACCACCTAACAACACTCTAACAACCACCTGGGATAACATGGCAACCACCTAATTACAGTCTAACAATCACATGGAATGCCATAGCAACCACCGAACAACAGTCTTAACAACCACCTGGGATATCATAGCAGCCACCTAACAACAGTCTAACAATTACATAGAATGCCATAGCAACCACCGAACAACACTCTAACAAAAACCTGGGATAACATGACAACCACTGAACAACACTTTAGCAACCACCTGGGATACCATAGCAATCACCTGGGATACCATAGCAACCACCTGGGAGGCCATAGCAACCACCTAACAACACCCTACCAATACCAAGAGACTGCTGAAGTAGTTATTCTGAAATTTCCTCACAGTGTAGTTTTGTAGTTCAATAGTATAAAAACAGTGATGTATAAAATGCTTGTAATCTGTTCAACCTGAACAACTTCACAGATTCCAGATCATCAGCAGGAAACAGCTGAAAACGTTAGGTGTGATCAGAAGATTCTGAACCGCACAGAGAATTAAGTTATAATGAAATTAAGATCCAGAATTCACCAGATTTCAAAGTGGAGGTCAAATCTGAAGGCAGATAAAAATCAGGGTAAAAAGATAATTACACTGTATTATTTATCATTTATTAACCATCAACCAACACCATCTTCAGATTAATGCATCGTTACACTTGGACGTGTTTTATGCCCCTGCTGGTAACTCGCTCGCTCCGGCCGCAGTCCAGACCCTGAGCGGTGTGGTTCTGACAGACTGTCTGTGTCAGTGTAACTGGCTGTAAGCTGCTTCGTGCGTCTCGACTGTGCAGTTCAGTCACTGTGTAGCTCTGAGATTAACCCTGACAAGCCCACAGTTCCTCCTGTCATTAAGCTGTACTGTTTAAACATAATCACACAATTAATTCATGATAAACTTAATTCAAACTGCAAAATCTTCTAATCTCACCCTTTAAGACCAAGCCAAGCGTGACCAATATATATATATATATATATATATATATATATATATATAGCTCGTATCTCCAAAAAGTTAACTTTACAGGAGAAGGAAAAACGTTCTTAACTTTTAATGAACGTTAATGGAGAAATAATTTTCTTCAAGTAATTTTGGATCATTTCTTTTGGTCCTTTCTTCATGAAATTCTGACACAACATAAAGGGCAACTGGCATTTTTATATTCTGCCAAAAAATTTAAAATGACAAAAATGGAAATACAAGGTTTTGTCCAAACAGCAGCAATATAGACATATACATACATACATACATACATACACATGTTTACTAAAATAAATTCATAAATAAATAATTAATAAATAAAACAATAATAAAAATAAAAACAACAAAGAAATAATTTAAAATAATAGTAATAATAATAGAACCTTACATGAAAGAGTAGTAGTAATAAAACTGAATCAAACAAACGTTTGACAGGAAACACTAATTGCTCAGCATAGTCTGACATAAAGCTAGGAAGAGAAATGCCATCAGGGGAGACACTGAAGCTGTGATGGAGCAGGACTGATGTGCATCTGAGCAACATCTGAAATCCTACTGTAAATATCTGACCAGTAATTAGTAACCAGTTTTCTGTTTGTTTTGACACCAAAAAGTGACAACGGCAAAAATATCAGCAAAAATATAAAAAAAAATTTCTTTAAGACTTTACACACAATAACTTTTCACCAAATTCAGATCATAATTACTTAGCTCCTCTTATATGTACAAACAAATGTGGTGTGGAATGAATGTTTAGAAGTTTCAAGTTCAAGTTTATTTCCCATTTGCACAACATGTCAGAACATTCATGCATCGAAATGCTTGTGGTGATGCTCAGGAATCACTCTACAGAAAGTAAACAGTAAAAATAAAAATACAAGAAAATACTGAAACTGAAGTATATTAAATATACACAAAATATAGAGACAGGAGGGACCTATATAAGGGGGAAGAAAAAAAAACCTCTCTCGCTGTCGGAACAAAACCTTGTATCTCCGATTTTGACGTTTTTCACTTTCTGACGTAATTTGAAAATACCTGTTGATCTTTACATTGTGTGTAAATTTCATGATGAATGGACCAAAAGAAACGGCCCAAAATGACTCAGAAAACGTCTGGTTCCATTGACTTACATTAAAAGTAAAGTAGGTTTCTTGCTTCTCCTATAAAGTTACTATTTTGGAGATACAAGGTTTTGTTCTGACAACAGCGATATACATTTTAAAGTGACTTAAGTGACTTAGTGTTATTATTATTTAAATGACTTAGTGTTATTATTATTTAAAGTGACTTAGTGTTAAAGTGTTACTGTCTGTAGCAGTAATATGATATTATAATAATAATAACAACAAAGTGACCGAGTGAAATGGTAACTGGGGAGGGACCCACAGCTTCACAGCTTCCGTGCAGTTTCTCAACTTGTTCCTATGAGCTACGAGTCAGAAATAATTCATATGGTTTTGTCAGGATAACTGAGGCTTCTAAAGGGTTAAACATTCACATTTTCTAACACTACAGTCAGACAGCAGTGCATGAGCATGAATGAGTGCGGATAACACTGTGTAGCATGAACTGAGTCACTGTTTCTTCTCATGTTCAGTTTAATCTGTTTCTGTTATTTCTTAAATCGCACATAAACGCTGACTATAAAGCATAAACTAGTAAAGCTGTTTTGTTTTTACCCAAACATTTTTATGTGCTCAGATCTATCAGGCTCTGAAAAAACAAAGCCTTAAAATTAGACATTGTGTTTACTTCAGTTTTGCCTTATTTGCTGTTCTTTAATTTATTTTACTTCAGTTTTTTTCTTTGTTAAGCAGATTAAACTGCATTTCTAGTTATTCTAACCCAGTGTTGGCTGAATATTAGTTCATTTCTGCATATTTTTAACTTCATCAAACAAGAACAACTTGAACAAAACAGCTTGTGAGCTGTGTGGCCACACTGGGTTCTTTGGCTGCTAAAGAACCACTTTTGGTTCCTGAAAGCAATTGATGGATCTTTAAAGTAAACACCCTAGAAATCACCCTGGGATACCATAGCAACCACCTAGCAACACCCTACCAACCACCAGAGATACCACAGCAAATGGTTAGCAGCACCCTAGCAACCACCTGGGACACCATAGGAACCACCTAGTAACACATCCACCTGGGATACCATAGCAACCAGTTACCGCACCCTAGCAACCACCTTGAATACCATAGCAACGGCCTAGCAACACCCTACCAACCACCAGAGATACCACAGCAACCTGTTAGCAGCACCCTAGCAACCACCTGAGATACCATAGCAAGGTTAGCAACACCCTAACAACCACCTGAGATACCATAGCAACCACCTTGCAACACATCCACCTGGGATACCATAGCAACCACCTAGCAACACAACCACCTGGGATACCATAGCAACCAGTTAGCAGCACCCTAGCAACCACTTGGAATACCATAGCAACTGGTTTGCAGCACCCTAGCAACCACCTGAGATACCACAGCAAACGATTAGCAAAACCCTAGCAACCACCTAGCAACGCAACCACCTGGGCTACCATGGCAAATGGTTAGCAGCACCCTAGCAACCACCTAGCAACATCCTACCAACCACCAGAGATACCACAGCAACTTGTTAGCAGCACCCTAGCAACCACCTGGGTACCATAGCAGCCATCTAGCAACAACTACCTGGGATATCATAGCAACTGGTTAGCAGCACCCTAGCAACCGCCTCGGATACCACAGCATCCAACTAGCACATTTAGTTGTTGTATTTCTGAATTGGCGAGATTTTTTACACATTGTTCTTCGTCCTGGTGTGGAACGTGTTCGTGATATTTGATTAATACGTGAAGATGGTTTGTGTTTTATATGTGTTCTTGTTTTAGTTTGACTCCTATGCATGAAACGACTAGGATCAGTGTGCATCTCTTAGCTTTAATGAGAACGTTTTTGTACTGTGTTGTGCTGAAATAGTGCAGATGCCTGATCCTGCTGTTGGATGTGTACAGCAGGTCTTATTCTGCTCTGAATGAGTGTAAGTGTAGGAAATAGAGCTGGAATGTAAGTTTCGTTCTTGATCTTGACATGTGCAGTTTGATTTTACTCTTTCTCCAGCCACCTTGAGGAAAAAGAAAGGTGGTAAGTTTTAGCACTGACCGTCTTGCTGTGACATACGGAAATACTTTTAAGTTGTAATTTTAAGAGTATATTAAAGAAATACTTCAGTGTTTTTTAAACTAATCTCTGTCTGCTACATCTGTATCGCACACAAACTACCATAGATGATAATTGATGTGTTTTCCTGCACATAGAAAAGAACAGAAAACCATTTGATGGAAAACTGACGTAAAAATAGAAGCCAGTGGGCCGATTCTGAATTTCATGAATAAATGCTTGAAACTACATTTACAGTTCAACACTGAAAACTGTTGGAAAGTTTGGAATCGATGTTTTTAAACATTTGAACGGTAATATACCGAAAAATGCCCGAAGAATTCAAGAGAACATAAACGTTGAGCATCTGCCTGTTGGCTGCTATCATAATTATATCCAGAGTGAATTAATTAACTGTTGTTTTCTAAGTGCAGGGAAACACGTCGAAGTGTCTGTTTGTGGTAACTGACCATCTGCTAAAGATGTGACTGATAGTAAAGTAAACACCCTAGCAACCACCTGGGATACATAGCAACCACCTAGCAACACCCTACCAACCACCAGAGATGCCACAGCAACCGGTTAGCAGCAGCCTAGCAACCACCTGGGATACCATAGCAACACCTAGCAACACAACCACCTGGGATACCATAGCAACACCTAGCAACACAACCACCTGGTATACCTTAGCAACCAGTTAGCAGCACCCTAGCAACAACCTGGTATACCATAGCAACAACCTATACTGTAGCAACTGGTTAGCAGCACCGTAGCAACCACCTGGGATACCATAGAAACCACCTATAAACACCTTACCAACCACCAGAGATACTACAGCAGCTAGTTAGCAGTGCCTTAGCAACCACTTGGGATACCATAGCAACCACCTAGCAACACCCTACCAACCACCAGAGATATCATAGCAACCAGTTAGCAGCACACTAGCAACCACCTGTGATACCATAGCAACCAACTAGCAACACAACCACCTGGGATACCATAGCAACTGGTTAGAAGCACCCTTGCAACCACCTGGGATACCATAGCAACCACCTCGCAACACCCCACCAACCACCAGTGATACCGCAGCAGCCAGTTAGCAACGCCCTAGCAACCACCTGGGATACCATAGCAACTGGTTAGCAGCACCCTAGCAACCACCTGGGATACCTGACAGAGTGATGACTGATAGAGATTAGGTTGAAAAACGCTGGAGTCCTTCTTTAATTCATGTTGCACTCAACTTGTCCCAGTCTGTGTGTTGCAGTTCACCTCTACAGTCAGTGGCTTGACTCGTTTGGTTCAGTTTGTGCTGCATGTTTTATGTGACACTAGTTTGTTGTTCTATAAGGAAACCTTTGCATGATATTTTACAGCAGACAGTAACTTCACTGTTGACACTTGCCAGGCGGTGGTTTGTTGCGTAACAGTGCAAAACAGTATTGATGTTGATGATGTTTGTCCTGGGAGTTTCATAGATGAGTAGTCTGTAAGTTTGTGACGTGTATGTAGTGTTTCAGTTTGTCTGGCTCTCTAGATGTCATGTTCTGGGACACGTGTAGACCTTTATAGCCACCTATGCGATTTATTTCTGTTTTTTGTTTGTTTTTTGTAACTTTTTTAAATACACCATGGGGGCAGATTCACTAATATTAATGCAAACTCCATTTTGGTGTTAAAAAAATCGGCTGTTGCGATTTACTAAATAGCTGCAGCGTTACTTTAGAGTCCGTAATAAGACCAAAGAGGTGGTTGCTGCTCTCTTATGTACGAGGGTGTTTTAGGGCCACTGTTAATAAAATAAAAATAGTGGACTTTGAGGAAAAAAGTCATAATACTTCGAGAAAAATGTTGTAATATTTAGAGAAAAAAAAGCCGTAATATTTCAAGAAAAAAGTCGTAATACTTTGAGAAAAAAGTTGTAATATTTTGAGAAAAAAAAACGTAATATTTCAAGAAAAAAGTCGTAATATTTCAAGAAAAAAGTCGTAATATTTAGAGGAAAAAAGTCGTAATACTTCGAGAATAAAGTTAGAATATTTTTAGAAAAAAGTCGTAATATTTCAAGAAAAAAAGTCAGAATATTTGAAGGATAAAGTGGTCTAACTATAGGAGGACTAACTGTAGGGGGCTGTCATAACGCGTTGGGGTCTCGGTTGCTGTACTGGCGCCAGAGTTCCACTCACTCCTGTCTCTCTGTGGATCATTTTGATCATCATTCTCACTAGCCACGTTTACATGCAGCCTGATAATCTGTTAATAATCCGACTAATAGCTCAATCGGAATAGAATACGTCCATTTAAACACCTCAATCGGAATAGTCTAGTCCGACTGAGGCCATTCGGAATACAATTTCTATCAGATTGAACGAGGTGGGTAAACCTCTGAATAATCCGTTAAATAGAAGAATAATATCTGTGTAAACGCCTGTATCTGATTACATTCCCTATCGGAAAGTTTAAGTCCGTTCTGATCATGTTCGTCACGTCATAGTGAAAGTTTATACCGTTCAGCATGGCGGAGCAGAAACTGGTCTGCAGAGGAGACGAAGTTTATGCTCTGATCTTTAAAAGACGGCGGTGGGACGGACGTCCAGCTTATGTGTCTCAGAACACGACGTCTTCCTCTCGGCCTTCTTTAATAAGGACATGTGAAGGACGTTTTCCTGAGTCTGACATCATTTTAAAGGAATTAAAAACACAAGCGCTGCTCACTGCTGCTCATCTCACTCTGACTGGACTCACGTGATGTTCGCTGTCATGGTAAAGTTTACTCTAAACGCTACTCCACGCATGTGCGTCATTTTGCATCGGATTACTTGTAGTGAGCATGTAAACGAAGATTTTCCATCAGATTGTTGATAAGAGTGAGCATATAAACACCTCAGTCTGAATCTGTAATCGGATTGTATTCAATCAGATTGGCAAAAATCTTTGCATCTAAACACAGACACTGTCTGTGAAACTTCATGCCCTCTTTGAATGGGGGGAGATGTAGCCCCCGATAACCGTGTAGACGACCCTGCCTGAGATTCTCCTTCAACAACACAGACAGACAGTTTCCTCCGAGTCCGTCTGGCTCTTTATTCTAGATAAACACAGTTTCCTGCTCAGCTGCTTCAGCCGGTTCTTACACTAATAACAGGCTGGTGCTGATGTGCAGGAGAGACAGGGAGACTGAGTGTTTCTTTATGGGTGAATCGATATGAAAGCAGAACTCCACCAACTCACCGCCCCTCATTTAACACGAGGAGGTGCTGCGTCCCTTCGCAAAGCCTTTGGCCACAATATTGCGACCTTTGCTGGTATTAATGCCACTTTAATGTAATGTAATTCTACGACTTTTTTTCTCTAAATATTAGGACTTTTTTCTCGAAATAGTACGATTTGTTTCTCAAAAAATTACAACGTTATTCTCGAAGTCTACTATTTTTATTTTTATTAACAGTGCATAAGCATTTGTAGACGTTTCACTCTTAAAGCACAAAATACTGGGAGGAAATTATTATAGTGAAGCACCTAAAGAGAGAGTGTATCAAACACATTTACTTATTTTTGGCTGGGGAAAAAAACAGTTGTGAACACCTGCTGTGTCACGTTATTCCTAATGTGATGGGAAAAAACCTCAAAACTGTTTTAAACTGCAGAAAGTCAAAATAACATTGTCAAATTTCTGAAATTTCAAAATAATGTCTTATTTTCTCAGTTATTTTTATGCTGAAATAATCACATGATCTCTTGAGGTGGAGTAACTTTCTTGACTCAACCTAATAAATCATATTTTGAATCTGAAACAGACAAATAAAAGCGAGTGGTTATCTTGTGCTGGTCATGTGTTAAGTTGTGCCTGTGTTCATTTGCATGGAAGTTCTTAGTTGATAACTCAAAATTGATCACTCGCCAGTGCAGCATGTCAGTGGACAGTCAGTAATTAGTGCCTGTCTTAGTAAATCTGCCCTTAAGCTTACAGTCAGGTGAATATAACTCAGAAAACCTTCCTGACTGACTGTTTCAGGTTTGCTTAATACTTTCAGGAAATAATAATGTCACTTTGCCCAGTGGAGAGTGTGAAAAATTTCAGGTTTGCGTCTTCATTAATTTCTGAAAGACAGAGGCTTTAAAAAGTGTGTGTGGCCTTTATATCGCCTTAAAATAAGTGCTATAGTAAAAGAAATGCAAATTTTATGTCATAATTTTTGACTTATTGATGCTACATACATGAGGTTTTCAGGGATTCTATAAAGATGCAAAGTTTGCTATTAAATGTCTTTGGAAAGTCTGGATTTTTTGTGTTAATTTGAGCAAATTCGGCATGTTTCTCCACACTGAAGTACAGCTCTTTCAAATTTTGGCGTTTTTAATTCATATTACGGTACGCTTGGAGCACTTAGGTATTAATCTTAAAGCAATGAAGGTTTCTGATTTATGAGCCAATAGATTTAAAAAAGGCTAATTTCAAATGCACATTGCTTATATAACAAGGTGTATTAGACACTATAAATAAAAATTGTTTGGCTCAGGCTATCGACTTGATATTCTTAAATATTCTATAGTTTGCTCTCTTTAGTGAAATACAGTATTTTATGGAGGAATATGCATTTGAAATGTTGGCCTTATTTGATTGTTTTCATTTTTAACAGCTCATAAATTTAGAAATCTTTATTTCTTTTAGACTTATATGGAATTTCCAAAAGAGCACTGCAAAAATTTAAATACCTGATATGTGGAGATAAATATGTTTTATATTCAAATTTTCAACAAGCTGTAAAATGTCAGATGTGACATTTTACAGCTAGTTAGGACTCCCCCAGTCACATGATCTACATCTTCTGGTTTGGTGGTCAAATGCAAATTACATCAGAGAGCACACAATTTCTACGCCGATTATCCTTCTGGGTCGCGTGGGGAGCCAGAGCCTATCCCAGCAGTCATTGGGCAGAAGGCAGGATACACCCTGGACAGGTCGCCAGTCCATCACAGGGCAGATAGACAGACAGACATATACATTTACACACAATCACACCTAGGGGCAGTTTAGCATCTCCAGTTGGCCTGGCTGCATGTCTGTGGACAGTGGGAGGAAACCCACACAGACACGGGGAGAACATGCAAACCCCACACAGGAAGGACCATGGTCGCCCGGCCGGGGAATCGAACCCAGGCCCTCCTTACTGTGAGACAACAGCGCTACCTACTGAAAAAAAAATGTTCACAACTTATCAAATAAGTAGCACTCTTTTAAAGCCACACTAACTTTTTTTTTAAGTTGTCCCCAAAATTTCTCCCCAATTTAGTCGTATCCAATTCCACCCACTAGTTAGGACTCCCCCAGTCACATGATACCACCAGCACTAGGAGGGCAAAAGCTAGCACAGGCTTCCTCCAAGACCTGTTAGGCATCACCACATCAACTGCTGCTCATGCAACGTCATTGGACAGCTGAACTTGCACAGAGGAGAACGCTAAACGCTAGATCTGTTTAGTCAGCCTCTGTTGACTAGCACTGTGCTGAGTGATGGGGGGAGAGCGAGGCCAACTGTGCTATCTTGGACTGCTGGCCGTGGATAGCTGTAATATTGAACAATCTCCCAGTGATAGAGCCAGTGCTTAGATGGGTGCACCACCTGGGATCCCCCATTCCAACTTCTTAAAGCCGCTGTATCTCAGAAACTAATAAAGAAACAAGCCTATAATTCTGCACTCTGTGAACACAGTGAAACTAAATACTACAGGTGTTGAGCAGTACTTCCAGCTGAGAGGCCTTCTGTGATTTCTTATGAATTCACCTGATTTTCTGTTAAACTTATAATGTTGTAAAAAAAGCCACCATCTTAGGTAAAATGTGAGCCATCAAAGTCACTAGACTGTAATTAGAAGAGCTTATTAAACTGTGTGTGTGTGTGTGTGTGTGTGTGTGTGTGTGTGTGTGTGTGTGTACTGCATGTCCTCACAACGATAGGACAAAATGACATCTTTGCTCAAATGAGGATGTTTTGCTGGTCCTCACTTGAACACATATTGTTTTCACCACAAATTACAATTTTTTGGAAAAGCTAAAAGAGCAAAGTGCCTTTTGGACACTGAGGTTAGGTTTAGGTGTAGTATTACTGCAGTAACACAAAAATCAATAGAAACGTATGGAAGACCTCACAAGGAATGTAAGACAAGATTTTGTGTGTGTGTTAAATGTGTGACTGTCCCTGTGGTGTTCATACTGCATCAGTGTTTCTCAGTCTCCGTTCCCATAATCCCACTCGCTGTACTCATGTTGGTGTTTTCCTGCTTTAAAACACTGGGCTGATCATTAAAGGGATGTATTGTGGAAAAAAAAAATTCAAATAAAAGGATCGGATGTACTACATAATTTTTTTGTTAAAGTTTCAAAACGTACCGTTCGCTCCTCACTCCATACAGTCCTTATACGCAAACTAAGCTGCAAAAAACAACCTGGTCTGAATTCATCATGGTTGTGATGTCACAAACATGAACATGTTTACTTATTAGCATCCATTCAGGCTACAGCAGTTCAGTCCTGTCCATTAAGATGTACAGCAATTTAGCTCCACCATTCAGCCTACAGCAGTTTAGCCCCACCATTCAGCTACAGCAGTTTAGCTCCACCATTCAGCTACAGCAGTTTAGCTCCACCATTCAGCTACAGCAGTTTAGCTCCACCATTCAGCCTACAGCAGTTTAGCTCCACCATTCAGCCTACAGCAGTTTAGCTCCACCATTCAGCTACAGCAGTTTAGCCCCACCATTCAGCTACAGCAGTTTAGCCCCACCATTCAGCTACAGCAGTTTAGCTCCACCATTCAGCTACAGCAGTTTAGCTCCACCATTCAGCTACAGCAGTTTAGCCCCACCATTCAGTCTACAGCAGTTTAGCTCCACCATTCAGCTACAGCAGTTTAGCTCCACCATTCAGCTACAGCAGTTTAGCCCCACCATTCAGTCTACAGCAGTTTAGCTCCACCATTCAGCTACAGCAGTTTAGCTCCACCATTCAGCCTACAGCAGTTTAGCTCCACCATTCAGCTACAGCAGTTTAGCCCCACCATTCAGTCTACAGCAGTTTAGCTCCACCATTCAGCTACAGCAGTTTAGCTCCACCATTCAGCTACAGCAGTTTAGCTCCACCATTCAGCTACAGCAGTTTAGCTCCACCATTCAGCTACAGCAGTTTAGCTCCACCATTCAGCTACAGCAGTTTAGCCCCACCCATTCAGCCTACAGCTGTTTAGCCCCCCATTCAGCCTACAGCAGTTTAGCTCCACCCATCCAACCTACATCAGTTTAGCTCCACCCATTCAGCCTACAGCAGTTTAGCTCCACCCATCAACCTACATCAGTTTAGCTCCTCCCATTCAGCCTACAGCAGTTTAGCTCCACCCATCCAACCTACATCAGTTTAGCTCCACCATTCAGCCTCCAGCAGTTTAGCTCCACCCATCCAACCTACATCAGTTTAGCCCCCCTCATTCAGCTACAGCAGTTTAGCCCCACCCATTCAGCCTCCAGCAGTTTAGCCCCCATTCAGCCTCCAGCAGTTTAGCTCCACCATTCAGCTACAGCAGTTTAGCCCCGCCCATTCAGCCTACAGCAGTTTAGCCCCACCCATCCAACCCACATCAGTTTAGCCCCACCCACTCAGTCTACAGCAGTTTAGCCCCGCCCATTCAGCCTACAGCAGTTAGCCCACCTCATTCAGCCTCCAGCAATTTAGCTCCACCCATTCAGCCTCCAGCAGTTTAGCTCCACCCATTCAGCCTCCAGCAGTTTAGCTCCACCCATTCAGCCTACAGCAGTTTAGCTCCACCCATTCCTGTTGCAGTGTTATGGAGTGTTGTTCCTGCAGACGGTCTGTTGTAGAGTTATTGGGGTGGAAGTTGTGCTGTTCCTGGCTGTCAGGAAGCAGCTGAATAACTGCCACTTTCTAAATATCTACACACGGCTAAAGCTTATTTTCTCAACCCATGGCCCTGAGGATTTCAGTCCCAAGTTAACAGGTCTTGACTGCTGGATAGCCAATCAGAACAGAGCTCATTTACATATATCAGTCCTAAGGGCATGGAATCAGCCTGTTTAATTCTAAAGGATAAAGAGAGGTTGAAAAGTAATCATGTGAAAATGAATTACAGCTGTTTTTGATATATAAAGTCACACAAACTTGAAAAGTGGACTTCAGGGGAAGAAAAAACAAGGAATAAATAGAATATATGCTCTTTAAGGGCTTAATAATGAGCTGATAAATTGAATCAAGTGTGTTAAAGCAGGAAAATTAAGAATATGTATAGTATCAGGTCCCTCAGGGCTGGAATGAAAACCACCGGTGTGTGTGTGGAAATGCAGTAGTTAAGCAGAGCCGTCTTTGAGCATGCATGTTTATGTGAGTGTGGTGTTATATTGTGAGTATTTTGTTAATATGCTGACAATATTTGAACTTAGAAGTGATTTAATGTCACAAATTTAAGAGCAAATATCCATTATATTGTACTATGATGAGTAGCATAAAATATATTCACTCTTGAAAGTAAAGGTACCAAAAAAGGGTGTTTAAGGGTGATAAGAACAACTTTTGCAAGGAACATTTCCATGGATGGTTCTTTAAGGAACCAGATTTGTAAGTGTGAGAAACCTTCAGAAAGTTTAAAGAACCTCCAAATAACGTAGAAGTTCTGTACCAATGAAATGTTTTCTCTAGAGCCATTTAGGAAGCTTTTTTAAGAGTGAAGACAAATACAAAGATACATGAGATATTACTTGAGTAAATGACCATAATAATGTCATGATATTGTGTAAAATATACAAGACAAGTAGGCAGACAGTTATTACTTGAGCATTCTGTGTGTGCATGCGTTTCTGTGTGTATGGATAGTTCTGTGCAGTCGTGTTGTTGAAGACTATTTTTTTGGGCAGTAACTGTGATTTTCTCAGTACAAACGCAGTCTAACATTATAATAAATACAGTAAAACGTAACAAGAATGTGTTGTTTTCAGTAAAGTTATGAATATGTAGGATACAACACAGGTTTGGTTCATTACTTCTCGCTGCTCTCCAGCTGTCTCATTTTTGTTCGACCAACCGATTTAATTTAATGAAGGATGGATTAGATCATTTAGCTATTGCATGGTAACTGAAAACCCTGGACTTTTTTGGGGAGAGCTTTTTAAACTATCTGCATTAAAAACTGGTTAAGATGTAAGCGCAGCGGTTCAGAGAGGTTTGGTGTGAAATGCTCTGTTCTAGAGAAACTTACAGAGTCAGAATTGTTCACAGTGGTGATAGGAACCAGACGTCCACCTCTAAAAGTTCCCTCACAGAAATGGTTATGAATTCACTGCCTGATGACTGAGACACTGTTTTATGATAGTTTAGAGAACTTAAACTCCATTCATGGTGGAGGGATACTTTATATGCAGGGCGTTTTGAGGCAAAATAGTCCCCAAAGAAAACTTATTATTTCAGATTTTCCACTATTTTGCATCATCAACATTCCATATAAGCTCAGAAGAGTCGTGTAGGTTCACTGGTGGTTCTGGATAGTAAATGAAATGTGTATATCTGTGTTGTAGTCATGGCGACGCCTGGTTCCTATCACCACCACTGTAAAGACATCTGAACCATTTCACACCAAACCACTCTGAATCTCTCTGTGTACACCTCACACACTGCATTATGGGGGATTTTTTGAAAAAAGCAGTTTGATTCTCCTTAAACCTGTTTATGTATCTGTGTTTGTTCTAATGTTAGCATTAATTACTAACGTGCTGCCCAGATAAATGGCTTTACAGTTAATTTTCTCAGATAGACTAAGACTTTTTCACAGTCCTGTGTGTGTCTGTAGTGTGTTTATATAGTGTGTGTGTTGCATGTTTAGCGTGTTTAGCGTATGAGTCCTGCTCTGAATCTTCTTCTCTTCCCGTCTCTGTGTAGATTCTCAGTCTTCTAATGTTGAGGGTCTGAAGAAGAGGATTGTATTTCAAGTCACACTAAGTAATCACCTTAAATGCATGGAGGCTTTTCAAAAGATCAGGCCGAACTATACAGTTACCAGGACTTGCTAGCATGCGGCTCGCTAGCGTGGCAGTGGCTAACACTAAATCTCTATGGCTCTGAATTCTGAGGAGCTTGCACGGCTTTGGGGGCTGACCGGTCTCTTTATTCCTATTTCTTTGTTTAATTTATTTATTTCTTTAATTTTTTGGAGTCTCATCAAAAGTCTCCTTTGATGAGAAGATATGTGCGGATTATTGGCTTCTGGCGCCACGGAGGTTTTCGTTTTCCTTGTGGTTTTTTTTTGGTTTGTTTGTTTTCCTTTTGTAGAGGTTAACAGCTGTTCCTGCTCTGGTTCTGTTGTTTAGTTGGGTTTTTGTTGTCTGTTTCAGATAAAGTGGACGAAGTAGCACCGGCCCAGAAGGCCGGGAGGGACAACACCTCAGTGGACATGAGGGTGGCCACCATAAAGCCCCGGCCGTCCAGTCGCTGCATAGCAACTCCCACAGATTTCAATGTGAGCGTCTCTTCTTCTACACTTTTAAAAATGATGTTTCTTCTTCTAAAATGGTTGTATATAGAACCATGAATACTCAAAGAACCCTTTTTGTGATTAGTGGGTTCTTTGCATCTTTACAGGGTTCTTGAGATTGATGGAGAATGTGTTTTATATGGTTCTGTATAGAACCTATTTGACAAGGGTTCTATATAAAACCAAAAAGGGTTCTTCTATTGGTACGATGTTAGGCCTGTAACAATAGAAGAACACTTCTTGTATATAGAACTGTTTTCTTTATCAAAGAACCCTTGAAGAACCATCTTGTTTAAGTGTGTATGAGCGGTCAGGTCCCACTGGGTTCAGATAAATATGTGTATATGTGTGTCTGAACATCTGTACTTACCCTGATTCCTTATATTTCCCTGCAGTCCATGTACGAGCGGCAGGGTGTAGCTGTCGTCCCACCCACTGTTCCTGGCGGCCCCCAGGGGGCGTACCTGGGAGTACCGAAGGGCACAATGAGGAGACAGAAGTCCATCGGTAAGAAAAACAGCCTGGAAAGATCTGCCAGTCTGACAATGGAAACGCATCCCAGTGTGGTGAACCGACAGGAGTAAAGGAGGAGTCACTAAATAGACTTGATTATGTGGTCTCTGACTCTGTGTGACTCACTGTTCTCTATAAACATGAACTAAAGTACATTAGCATAGCTAAACACAGAAGCAGCATCTAGAAGCCTGAATTTTGTCTGTACTTCAGGCCAGTGTTTATAGATAAGAGTGTGCCGTACAATTTCAGATATTTTATTGAACACATAATCAGGATATGTATGTTTGTAAATATACCTGAGGTATGTATGTTACTCTTATTTTCTTGTTGAGGAAATATGATCGAGGCAACATGGGAACATAGAGCTACGTCCTATTAAATTACAATGAGGAAACATAGGACCCTGGGAATATAGGATCCTTGGAATACAGGAACTCTGCTGTATAGGATCCTGGGAATATAGAACCCAGGGAATGTAGAACCCTGGGAACACAGGTTTCAGGGAATATAGGATCCGGGGGAATATAGGATCCTAGAAATATAGGGCCTGGGAATATTGGTTCCTGGGGATATAGGGTCCAGGGAATATAAGATCCTGGAAATATAGTTCCCTGGGAATACACGGTCCTGGAAAATCTAGGTTCCAAGGAATATAACGTCTGAGGATATAGGATCCTGGAAATTTAGGGACCTGGGAATATAGGTCTCTGGAAATATAGGTTCCAAGGAATATAGTGGCTGGGGAATATAGGATTCTGGAGATAGAGGGCCCTGGGAATATAGGTATTTGGGAATATAGGGCCCTGAGAATATATGTTCCTGGGAATATAGTGTATGGAGAATATAGAATCCTAGAAAAATAGATCCCTGGGAATACAGGGCCCTAGGAATATAGTTTCCAAGAAATATAGCATCTGGGGAATATAGGATCCTGGAAATAGAGGGCCCTGGGAATATAGGGCCCGGGGTATATAGTTCCCGAAGAATATAGGATTCTAGAAATACATGTCCTTGTGAATACAGGTCCCTAGGAATTAAGTGTCCGGGGAATATAGGATCCTGGAAATATAAGGCCCTGGAAATATAGGGTCCTAGGAATATAAGAACTCTGCAGTATGTATGTAGAACCCTGGGAATATAAGACCACATTTGGGGTAAAAGGGTGGGAAAACTGGGTAAATTTGACTTTTCCTTTAAATCGCTACTTGTATCTTCTGTTTCCTGCTTTTGACTCACTGTAAAGGGTAATACTGCACTCAGACTTCTGCTGAATGATAAAATTAGCCTGAGGAACTTTATAGATTAAGAAGCTCACTGCGTTCTCTGTGAGAATCATTCAAGACTTTAAAACATTCCTGACTCATCCAAGCTAATTATAGTATTTCACAGTTTTATTTCCGATAGCTTTAAGACTCGCCTGGTCTATATACAGAGTCATTGACGTGGTTTCTTCATGACTCGGTTTCTTTTACTGAGCAGAAGAGTCTTATTTTAACTTCCAGATCTATTTATATGTTTTACGTGATGGCTATTCCCAGGGTCGATTACGCTTTCATCGCTCAGCCGGCTCCGTCTCGCCAGCTGAACAGAGTTCATTAAGTTCGATTATCGTTAAATTAGGCCGATCTGCTTGCCACTCCAGATTCCTTTGATGGAACCATTAGAACTAATTACACATTCTGGAGAAGAAATGGCACAATCAGCAAGTGCATATTAATAAATGGTAATATTATTCATGGTCCCTCGAGTTCTCCTCGCCTTTCTGACCATATGGCCCGAAACAGGGGGTTATGGGATTGACGCTGCCCTTTCTGTTCATCGAAACTCTCCACTCTGATTGAGTCCTGCTGAGCTGAGAGTTTATCATGGAGCTGCACAGCTTACTGATGTTCTCCGGCTGGCTGGAACGAGGAAAGGAGCTGACAGACTGCAAGATACAGTAGCAGACGGATAATCATAAAAGGATTTCCCTTTTTTTTTACTATTTTCCACATTTTAGAGTCACAGTAAAAACACCAAAACTATGCAATAACACATACAGAAATACACCGATCAGGCATAACATTCTGACCACCGCCTTGTTTCTACGCTCATTGTCCATTTTATCAGCTCCACTTACTATATAGGTGCACTTTGTAGTTCTACAGTTACAGACTGTAGTCCATCTGTTTCTCTGATACTTTGTTAGCCCCCTTTTACCCTGTTCTTCAGTGGTCAGGACCCCCATGGACCCTCACAGAGCAGGTACTATTTGGGTGGTGGATCATTCTCAGCACTGCAGTAACACTGACGTGGTGGTGGTGTGTTAGTGTGTGTTGTGCTTGTCCGAGTGGATCAGACACAGCAGTGCTGCTGGAGTTTTTAAACACCTCAGTGTCACTGCTGGACTGAGAATAGTCCACCAACCAAAAATATCCAGCCAACAGCGTCCTGTGGGCAGGTCGGGGCAGCGTCCTGTGACCACTGGTGAAGGACTAGAGGATGACCAACACAAACTGTGCAGCAGCAGATGAGCTATCGTCTCTGGCTTTACATCTACAAGGTGGACCGACAAGGAAGGAGTATCTAATAGAGTGGACAGTGAGTGGACACAGTGTTTAAAAACTCCAGCAGCACTGCTGTGTCTGATCCACTCAGACCAGCACCACACACACTAACACACCACCACCACATCAGTGTTACTGCAGTGCTGACAATGTTGTTTTATATGTTCTTCACAGAAAATGAGCAAAGGTCAAGAAATCTGAGGCTGAAATAATAATAAATCACATAATTTTTTCTTTTGGTAAACATTGAAAATGGGTCCCACAGACCTGAACACCACACAAGGGTTGATAGGAATATTAAAATACATCCGTCATTGTTTCCAAACTTTTGAACAGTAGTGTAAATACGATTATGTAAAGCATACATTCAGCCAGCTGTGCCAGTATTACAAACCACTGGCATAATTGTGGCCCAATCAGTGATGCCTGTTTAGATCACTCTTACGCTGCACTGAAATACAGTAACAGTGTTAGTTCTTTGGCTAGAACGGCACTGATTAAACAACTGTACATTAATGTTAATTAACTAGTGTTATTAGAACTGGCTAAAGACTGAGAACTGGCTGTTATTAACAGCCAGTATTTATTTGGAGCTATGAAGAGCCTTTGCTGCAGATTTAAGAACACGCATTATAGTCATTAAACTTCATTATCAGTTTGCTTTGTACTTACATTTATGGGTCCCAGCACAAATGAATCTACAGTCAGCAATGATAGTGTAAAACTGTCAAAACATTTTACTGATTACAGCTAAATAACAACATACATTGCCATTATTTTGATATTTAGTCAATCTAAAAATGAAATGGTTGAAGGAATGGTCAAGGTAGACAGGGAAATAAGGACACGAGTTGCTAGCTAAACAAGGTAAGCATTTAAGGGTTAAACAGTCTTTGCTGAAGACATACTTGTGAAAACAGCTTGTACAAACGTCTTGCCAGCATCTGAGGTGCCCAAATAATATGTAACCTGTTTGTCTTGCTTAGGAATTACGGAAGAAGAGAAGCAGTTCCTGACCCCTCCATTGCTGAAGTTCACTCGGAGCCTCTCTATGCCTGACACATCGGAAGACATCCCGCCTCCACCAGGTGTCTCCCCTCCATCGCCGCCTTTCAACCCCAGCGCCCCTGTCGGACAAGGCTACGGCCCCGGCCGCTGCCAGCCTGGCTTCGGCCAGCCTTCAGCAGGTAGAGGGTTTGGCAACGCCGGCACAGGCACCATCCGTAGAGACCGGGTCGGGTTCCAGCGTCAGAACTCAGATCAATACGACCCTCAGAACTCTCAACAGAATGCCCGCAATCTGAATAGGGCTTCCGTGCCTGAGAACCCATACTCAGAGGTTGGCAACAAGGCGCTTTATGTCCCAGCTAAACCGGCTAGGCGGAAGGGCATGTTGGTCAAGCAGCCGAATGTGGAGGACAGTCCAGAAAAAACCTGCTCCATCCCCATCCCCACCATCATTGTCAAAGAGCCGTCCACCAGCAGCAGTGGCAAAAGCAGCCAAGGTAGCAGCATGGAGATTGAGACAAGCACCCCTGAGCACTCAGGTGGCCAGCTGCGACCTGAAGACGGCCTCAGTATCAGCAACCCATTTGCGGCTGCTATTGCTGGGGCGGTTCGTGACCGGGAGAAGCGGCTGGAGGCTCGTAGGAATTCACCAGCCTTTCTGTCCACAGATTTAGGAGATGAAGATTTGCCCACTCCTGTCCCTCGCTTGCGGCAGTCAAAGTCCATAGACGAGGGCATGTTTGGAAACGATGAGGGACTGCGGACATTTATGGCACCACCAGCTTCACTGCTGAATGCAGCACAAGGAAGTGGAAGTGATAGTGGCAATAGTGGAGGTAGTGGCAGTGGTGGAAACGTGACGGACTTTAACACCCCTGAACCCACAATTGTGCGTGAACCTCTTAACACACGTACAAGGAACTGCCCTGATCTAGACAGTCCTGTCAGCCTCCCAGCATCGGTGAAGACCTACAGCTCCAATGGTGGAGGCTACCTACATCCGGTCACAGGTAAGGCTCTGGACCCCAGTTCCCCTCTAGCCCTGGCCTTAGCTGCCCGGGACAGAGCAATGAAAGAGCAAGTGCAGCCTCCTCCACCTCCACCAAAGGGGGAGTCCCACAAACCAGACCTCAACCAGCCCCTCTTCATCGACACCAAGCTCCGCTCAGGCATCGAGGCCAACCTGGCCCGGTCTGCGGGTCGAGGTGGTCTGCGAAGACAGATGACGGAGTCTAAATATGAAGCAGATGGCACAAAAGACGACAAGCAGGCAGAGGAGAAGAAGAACATGCTGATTGACATTGTGGACACATCACAGCAGAAGTCAGCAGGGCTGCTGATGGTCCACACAGTAGACGGTGTAAAGCCCAAAGAAAATAGCACAAGTGACGGAGGGAAGCAGGAGGGGGCACCACGACAAGACAGTGTACCCACAGAACCGAGAGATTCAGGTACCAAACCCACAGTGCCCAATTCTCAGCCTGCTCCACACCGAACAAAAAGCATCACAGTAGGTGGCTCGATGGATGAACCCATCAAACTGCCTTTCCGCATCCCCCCTCCACCTTTGGCCTCGGTGGATATTGATGAGGAATTTGTGTTTGCCGAACCTTTACCTCCTCCCTTGGAGTTTGCAAACAGCATTGACATCCCTGAGGACCAGTTAGCAGAGATTCTGAAGCAGAGGAAAAACAGTATCCCAGGAGGACCCTTGCCTCCATACCATCCTCATGCACCTCCGCAAATCAGTGCAGAACATAAGCGTCCAATTGGGATTTCAAACTGCATGCCCCCTCCTAGTTACCCCCCGCCACCTCCTGAGAGCTTTGAGCCAGTCACGGACTCTGGAATCGAAGAAGTGGACAGCAGAAGTAGCGGAGACCCCCACCTAGAGACCACTAGCACCATCTCAACCGTGTCCAGCATTTCAACACTGTCGTCAGAAGGTGGTGAAGCACTGGACACTTGCACAGTCTATGCAGACGGTCAGGCATTCCTGGTGGATCGGCCTCCAGTGCCGCCCAAGCCAAAAATGAAGCCCATCATCAACAAAAGCAATGCACTTTACAGGGATCCCTTGATCGAGGAAAGTCCCGAATCCTTCAGTCAACCTCCACCTGCCCCACCTCCGCCTCCAGATGGTGCTGCCCAGTCAGAACTGCCCAAAACACCCACTCAGAGAAGCTCCAAACTTTGGGGAGACCCTCCCGAGCTCCGGAGCCCACCCTCATCAAATCCGGATCCTAAGGCCAATGTGATCAGTGAGCTGAGCTCCATCCTGCAGCACATGAACCGGGACAAATCACCCAAACAAGGAGACTCACTTGACTCTCCAACAGGACCCAGAAGCTTTGCAACCAGGTGAGCGACCACTATCTACTAAAATACGGTACCAGTCAAAAGTTTGGACACACTATATACTCATCAAAAGGTAGATCGAAAGCAGACAAAAGGTGTTTAAATCAAAACTGTTCCTCAAAATTCCTTTCCCTTTGCTTTGATATACAAAGTTCACGCTTCAGTATGGCTTCTACTGTTTTACTCCATGCAACATACTTTTGTCCATTTTAGAAACTCTGTTTTTATACCTTCCATTGCTTGTTAACTACAGTAGCCTTTTAGCGCAAAACTAAAGAAGCAAAGCCAAAGGTGTGTCCAAATTTTGACTGGTACTTCAGCAGCTTAATAAGGTTTATTATATATGTGCTGTTTTGCTACATCATGTTGAACGGAGGCGAGTACGTGCAGCGCTTCTAATTCTTTAATTTGTTTAATCCTTGACGAGAACACTGGACTCATTGCTCAGATTTAAAGTAATCCACTTGAGTGCTTTCAGGAATGAGTGCAAATGGGTCTGAGTTAAACTAAATACTCTGTAGAGGCATTTACTTGGATGGAAAGGAGAATGAGAAAGGATGGAAATGTTCTTTTCACTTTTTTGCGGCAGACTGTGCGAGTGTTCTTGTGAACAGATAAATGAGCCACTGAGGGATTTTACTGGATTTTGTTCTCACCACCAGAAGAGTTACTCAGTGTGCCTTGGGACGTGATGCAGAAAAAGGCATCGGGAACACAAAACTGTTGTGTTCTTCAAGGAGCGAAAAGAAAACCTCAAAAAACTGATAACCCTTAAGGCCTTTACTCAACGAGCGTGGTGTCTGCAGACATTGATAAGGTCATTTGATTGCGTGTAGAACTGGTGATGTTTCGCAAACCAAATGTGATTGTTGTAATTGTGAAAACACTATATACGTTTTTTGGACCTTTGCGCAAGCTTTATCAGGTTGCATGATCTTGCTCGACCAATCACTGTTGTCTCATGTGGCAGCAAATTGAAGCATCCTTATGGACAACTTTGGGGGGCTGAGCTAGAGGGTCTACCACCCGGCATGAAATAAAAAGAAAAATCAAGGGGAAGCCAGAGATCTCATGCTGAATGTGAATGAATGAAGACTGTGCAGAGCCAACAGGGACGTTTTTATAAAGAAATCTAGACACTGTATAATAGGGCTGCACGATATATGATATTTTATCGTTATTGCGATATGAGTTTCCGCGATAAGCACTTCGTTAGAGCAGCGATGACAGAACAGATATAATGACCACATACACACAGCGCCAGACAGACGTCATTACATTACAGCATAAACCGTTACAGGCCTGTATCTCTGCGCTGAGCCTGAACCTGCTCTTCCACGCGGGAGACGAGGAACCCTTAGCGAGGGTCTGCTTTTGGGTCTTGGTTTTACTCATTGGTTCTTCCTCATGCTCTTGTGCAGTTCTTCTTTGTGAGTCTTGGTTCCTCTCAGCTGATCTCCCTCCTGCACTTATAAAGTTCTTCCTTTTGAGTCTTGGTTCTTCTCAGTGGTTCTTCCTCATGCTCTTAAGGAGGTTCTCCTTTTGAGTTATGGTTCCTCCTAGTGGTTCTTCCTCATGCTTTTAGGGAGGTTCTCCTTTTGAGTCTTGGTTCCTCTCAGTTGTTCTTCTGCATGCTCTTTGTTTTGAGTCTTGGTTCTTCTCAGTGATTCTTCCTCATGCTCTTATGAAGTTCTTCCTTCTCAGTCTTGCTTTCTCTCCGTTGTTCCTTCTCATGCTCTTAGGAAGGTGTTCCTTTTGAGTCTTGGTTCCTCTCAGTGGTTCCATCCTCATGCTCTTAGGAAGGTCTTCCTTTTGACCCTTGGTTCTTCTCCACGGTTCTTTCCTCATGCTCCTTTTGAGTCTTGGTTTCTCTTGGAAGTTCTTCCTCATGCTCTGGGAGGTTCTTTTTTGAATCTTGTTCGTCTCAGTTGTTGTTCCACCTGCTTTTAGAAAGTTCTTCATTTTGAGTCTTGGTTCCTCTCAGACGTTCCTCCTTGTGCTCTTAGGGAGGTTATCTTTTTGAGTCTTGTTTTCTATCAGTTGTTCTTCCTCATGCTCTTAGGAAGTTCTTCCTTCTGAGTCTTGGTTCCTCTCAGCGGTTCTTCCTCCTGCTCTTAGAACATTTTACTGCCACTGTTTATTTTTAAGCAAGTCGCTAATAGAAGTTGTCCCTGCTGCGGACTGTTTGCAGCACTTCGCAGTGTTTTTGAGCAGCAGAGAAGCAGCGCTATGGAAAATGTATGTGTGCAGCCACAACTTGACCCCACACCTGAGACCCTCTCAGCTCCTGCTTTTTTCCATGGCCCTTCCTCTTACATAAGGCGAGGGCATAAAGACGGTGAATTATTCACAGTGTACATGCATTTTACATAAAGATATCCAGCCTAAAGCGCTGAGCTGCCGAGGAGAGTGAGAGATTATCAGCGCTTCCTCTTGTTCACTCTCTCTCTCTCTCTTTCACTGTCTCTCTCTCTCTCTCTCTTTCACTGTCTCTCTCTCTCTCTGTCTCTGTCTCTCTCTCTCTGTCTCTCTCTTCTCTCTCACTGTCTCTCTCTCTCTCTCTCTCTCTCTCTCTCTCTCTCTCTCTCTCTCTCTCAGTTTGTCGCTCAGTGAGCTGTGATAACATTTACGCAGCTGAAAGCCATTATGGACACAGAATAAAATGATTTGTAAATGGCCAAATAATCATCTACTACAAATCAGGACGGCAGCACTGGTAGCATAAATCAAGCAAACCAAACGAAGCGTACGCACCACAAATGTGTCATTTGTAACTTATCCCTATGAATATGTAATTTTATTTTTAAGAAGGAACGGTCCTCAGGAGTTAGTTGAAGTTTCCCACTTCTCTCTTACAAAGAAATAAGAAATTAAGAAATAAGAATTTCTCTTTCTTATTTTTAATTTTTTAAGTTAAGGCATTAACATTTGTGGAAAAAATGATATTTTTAAATAGATTGCTGCAGAAGTTATATTCACTTCTTTTCTCTTAAAAAATCAACAAAATATGTTTTTTTTCCAACAAGTTCCACTATTACCTTACAGACAGTTACTAACCACAGAAATACAGGCGTTCGTATCACTGCAGCCACCGCAGAAAGGTGTCTCACTTTATCTTTGTAATAGTTGCCAAGATAGAAATTGGAGGATGAGTCCAGAACTGTTGGAGAACCAAACACACAACAATGTGGAGTCCAAACTAAATAAAGGAAATAAATGCTTCGTGGAAAAATTCCTTCACAGCTATCAGAGCACAGTAACGTCAGCTAACATCTACAGAGTGATAAACAGCTTGCTATCAATAAAATAGTTGGCAAAAAGCTAAATGCACACACCAGCAGGGGGCGCGCCAGGACATCAGGGTCTGTAGCACCACTGTAGACGTTTTACACAAACACCAACTCCAGTGAACGAACACCTGCTCCCCACTGAGCTCTCGCTCTCTCAGATACCGACAGCTTTGGAGAGAAAATGAAAACTGTTCCTCTGAAAGCGGCTGCAGCAGCGACTTTAAAGCACATTAACATTAACGTTAGTCAGCGGCAGTGCAGGGTGACACAGGGCGTCTTCTCTGTAGTATGAATCGTTGTTATTGTCGTTGCTGTAGCAGAAGCAGTGTTACCCTGCAACAACTACTTCCAGTAGAAGAAACATGGAATTGTGAAAAGGGCCTATAAGCCACGAGGAGCTGTGCATTACAGTCATTTTTACCTGATACCTGTAATAAAATCACTGTAGTGCAAATGGCTTATTGCTTTTAAGTTCAGTCCGCAGCACAGCGGCAGTTCATTACGGGATAACAAAGCGAAACCCATCCATCAAAGGCAGTAAAGCGTTTTTTTTTTTTTACATTGAGTTTAAAACTCATTTTTCAAGTCAAGAGGCTTTTATTGTCATTCCATCTATGTACAAGTACACAGTGGAGTGAGATTAGGTTCCTCCAGGGCCAACATGGTGCAACATGAAACAGAATAAGCAGTACAAAGTGCAGCGTGCAGACGTGAGTGTGCGAAAAACTTAGACTAGAAACAATAATAAATACAAAAAATAAAACAGACATTAGACAGTAAACAGACCGGACAGTGCAGCACCGACACAGCGCTCATTCCTGAGCATGAGGCAGGGTTGTGAAATAAGGTGCAAAGATTATTTAACATGCTGTGATCTGTGAGTAAACGCAGTTAGATAACATACGTCAGTACAGCAGTTCCTGTGGTTTAAAAGTGTATTAAACGATGCATTTGAGTGTTTTACATTTAAGTGATATATTTCAGTTAATCTGTTCAGCGTATCCCATTAGAAGTGCACTCATTAGTGTAGTAGCTGAAGTGCAGAAGTGTGTGGTTTGGGACGCGGCGTTAGATCAGCTAGTGAGACGCATTCAACAGCTGCTCTGCTGTGCTGCTCGTTAGCTGCTCATTAAACAGTTCAATGAGAAAGTTTGAGTGGGTTTGTTGATTAAGGAGCTTTTATTAAGGTAAATTAATACATTTATTAAGGTATATTAAAACATTTATTAAGGTAAATGAATGCATTTATTGGGGTAAGCTGATGTTGGCTTCTTATTTAGAGCTTCTTGTCTGAAATTTGTTATACGCTAAAGGCACCTCAGTGTAACTGCAGCACCATTTAAGGTGGAACAGAAAATTTGAATAACAGGCTGGTGAACAAAAAACTAAATACAGCTTTATATATATATATATACACATATGTGTGTGATTTAAGATATTCAGCAGTTTAGTGACTGCTAAGTGTTTTATCATGAGTTTGAATGCAGTTCAGCCATTCAGATTTCAGTTTAGTCAGTTTATAATTATTAATATGTGACGTGGAACTTCAGTGATGCATAAAAATGCCTGCCTTCCTAAAAATATTTTTTAATAATCATGTTTTCTCCTGCAGTAAAAAACACATGCACTCTGTTAATGATGAATCTTGAATTAATGTATTTAAGCTTACGAAACCCTTATTTTCAGCTTTCTGTCTCTAAAACAAGGCTTTTA